ATAGCAAGTAATATATTTCTTTTATTTCACTTTAATGCTTTTGTACAATATTTTGTTATCAATTATTAATATTTATTTAGTTAGATATTTGCAAAACAATAATTAAAATAAGTGAAAATTTATTGAAAAAGTACAGCATAATTTCCTTTTTACTCATTGGTGACTTTGGTGACTATGTAATTCGTAAAAAATTTCTTGCCAAGTTCAGTTTTATTGAATTATATTCAAGGAAAACAGTTCTTAACACAGAAAAGCAAACTGGTTGTAAATCAAACTAAGTTAGTTTAGAGTCTACAGGTAAAAAGTTTCTCAAATTTTGTACCTCATATAGAAAATTTTTTTAATTGAGTAATATGAGGATTTCCAATTTTTGTAACAAAATGATTTGAAATAATTAAATTAATGATTTTTAAATCAATTTGGAAATGTCACTCGTTCCCTTATAAATTTACTTTGATTTATAAATTAAGACTTCTGATATGATTTCCTTAAAAACTAAAATTAATCTACCAAATCTTATATAGCAAAATAAATTACAGTAAAAATCCTAGAAATTTAAAAGTTACAGTATACCTCAAATTCGGCATGGTTAAAAGATGTCAGTATTCTAAATTTTATTCTAAAATGCAAGAATATTAAAATTTAAAGAAATAAAATAATAAGGAAAAAAATAGTAAGGAAGTAAAATGGTAAGGAAATAAAATAATAAGGAAATAAAATAATAAGGAAATAAAATAGTAAGGAAATGATGTTTTTATTTTGTAGAAGTTTCTCTCTTAATAGTAACAATTTTAAGTATTTTTGTATGGTTGTATATGTTTGGTTATCAATTAGTTAATTTTAAATACTGTTGAATAAATCCATTTAATTTTATTCTTTGTTTATTATGTATTTTTTCAAATAAGCTTCAATGTTTTTATTTTGGTAAAAACTGTAGTATTGTTATATTTTGCATTTAAGTAAACATTTTTCATGTTATTTTTTATAGGGTCTCTGGATTACGTAGAGAAAGCGATGAGCTGTTTTTGAAAGAAAAAGTGCCACCTCTTTCACTAGAACTTGTGAACAATTTATGCCTTGACTCATTAATATGCAGGTTAATATTTTTTGGAAATATCATTTTATGCTTTTGTGCATTTGTCGACAGTGAATCGAGATAATCCTCATTAGTTACTTAGAATAGTCTCAGTAAGGCATTTTAATTGTACTATTGACAGAAATTTTCAGTTTCTTCCTATACTTTTTACTTTTAACACAAAACAAGTACTTTGTTTTGGTCTTCAAGGCCTAATTGAAAGCCTTGCCATTTTGCAATTGAAAGATGATTCTCTATATACTAGTTTAAAAGCTAAATAACTTGTATAAGAAAAAAGGCTAATTGTTTTTTCTAACTGATAAGTTTTTTTATAAAGGAGATAAAAAAATTATAGCTTTCTTTTTTTGATTTAAAAAATGTTCTGTAGCCAAAGCACTTGCAGTTCGAGAATTTATTTAAAAATCAAAGATGCAGAAATTCATTTAGACTTAAAGGAATAGAACTATTTTTCTAAAAAGAAAATAAATTTTTTTTATTAACCTATAAACTGATACTATAAACCAAATGGTGTTTTACTGTGGCCTTTCAATGAAGGTTGTACTCCCCTAATCTAAATATTTTTTCACGTTATGTAATTTAATAATTGAAAACAAATTTCATGTAATAGCTTTCCAACACAAAAATATTTCATATTGATTGAATTTAAAATAGAAAAATTATCTAGCTGTATAATTTAAAAACAATTTTTTTTTTAACCAATTGCTTTTTTTGTGGCTTTTGAAAGAAAATTTGTCTTGTATTCTTTCAGTCTTGTGAGTACTCGAGATGAGCTTATGGTTACCACTCTAGATGGTAATTTTTGGCGGGTAAGATGAGATGCCAAATTAGATGAGGATTACACTCTAATTTTATACAATATCTCATTTCGCTTAGATCAGCTGCAATCTAGAGGTAAGTTTTTCTTTGTAACAAGAATTTAAATTCAAAAGATTCTTTCAATGTGCAAAGCATATTTATTCATTACCTTGTGCTCAATATACACTGAATTTTAGTCGGTTGACTTATATCAAATCAGTGGTTGTTCAAAGAAAAATTAGAGAGGTAAAGAAGCATAAGTGAGGTCCTATGCTCTTCTAAAGAGTAAAAAGGGTGAAAGAAGAACCTTTAGTTGAAATTTATTAAAGAGAGATAAAGTACAACCACCCAAAAAGAAAAAAAAAAATTAAAATAGGATCCTTGAGGTCCTTCAAAAATGATATGAATTTTTAAAATTTGCGTGTTATTATTATCTAATAACTTATTATTATTAACTAATAACTAATAATATTTGAGTTAAAAAAATTATATGGAAATGGTTAAACAACAATAAAAATCTAATAAAAAGCATGTTCAGAAATCAATGTGAATTTATGACGTAATTGTTATAAACCGAATGAACATTCGGTTTATAACAATTACGTGCATTTAAAATGAACCAAATTCACGTGTCATAATAGTCACTTGTCATTGTATTAAAAGCATCAGCATTAAAAAAGCTATGTGGAACAATCATAACTACAGAATTAGTGTGAATGTACAATAGAGTTGTTGAAAACTGTGCTCGTCAAAAAGGGATAACTCAAATTTGAAATTTGCTTATATTAAAATATTTTTTTTTTTAGCCATTACCATGTGTTTCAACAAACACATGGTAATGGCTAAAAAAACATTATATAACCTACTGAAAAAATTATCAACAAGCAACTTAGATTATTGTGATGTAGTCGAGATGAATCAAGCATATCAATAAGAAATAACTCAAATTAAAAAAATTTTGCGTTGTAGTAACCTCAAAATTTAAAAAATTATGTTGAAATGGTCGAAAACGATAAAAAAATATTCGTATTTACGATGAAATCTTTGTGCAAGAAGTGCATTTAAGATGTGTTGAATCAAATTTGAAATGCTTTTTTTTTAATAAGATTGTATTGAAGACATTGGGAATTTAAAAATAAAAATATATGAGAATCAAGCATGTAAAAAATTAATAACTCAAATTTGCATATTGTCGTAACACGGTAAACATAATGGAATTCAATAAGAAAATAAGACAGATTTAGGAGGAAATTGTCTCTAATGAAGTGCGTCAAAAGTGCTAATTCAAATTAAAAAACTTTTTTGTCATAATAAAGTCAATTAAAAATATTGGAATTTGATGAAAAAAGAAAATTTGTTGAAATGGTTGAAAAAATGATCGTAAGTGTTGTAAAATCGGAAACAGTGGAATTGTTTAAAACTAAACGCTTAAAAAATGACTCCTATTCAAAATTTGTGTGTTTTAGTAATACTGTATTAAAAATATTGAAATCTGAAAAACTATGTAGAAGTGCCTAAAAACGAGCGAAAAACCATATGGATTTTTAAAAAAATGGTGGAGATGGACCTTTTTGTTAATTAATTATTTTTTTTTAATTTATCGGGCAGGTATTCATAATTGAAGGTATTATTCAAAGTGCTAATAGGCGATGTTTTCTGCAAGAAACAATTACTTTTCTGTCTGATTCGAAGAAAGGGGAAATTTAGTTTAAATGAACAAAAGGGTAGATATTTAATTTGAATAAAGCTTAATGTTCTGACATTGGAAATTCAAAATAACAAACTTTTTGTAGAAGCAGAAAGTGATTAATGAGCAGATTAATTTGAAAAACAAATAGTGTGGATACTAAGTTAAATGAAACTTAATATTTCTCTTAACCTTTATTAAAAATGATGAAATCATAGCAGAGAAGCAATAAAGAAACTTAATCAAAGTTAGACTTTTTCCGAAGAGTTATCAGTTGGTGTTTTCAACAAAAAACAAGTACTTCCCAATAATGTGACACAGGTACGAATACCAAGATAAATGGTACCAAAATTTTAATGATTGTTTTAAAATTTTGTAACTTTTTTTATTTAAAAAAATGAATGTTTATCATTTTTTATTTATTTGATAAGCAAATATTATATAGCATATGAAAATTTTGGCTTTTCATTCATGATTTTCATGCTGTGCTGTGCAAACATTGCTTTGACTTGGAACAAAATGTTAATAATATTTAATTTTTAAAATCATTTTTTTTTCTGCGATGAATGTCATACTTTTTCTTCCACTTTTATCCAACTTCAGTTGTCAGTCATTTAAAAAAGTCGTTCAATCAAGGTTTTATTTTATTTATTTACAATAGCATAGTGCAAAGAAAGGGAACATTTTTACTGTGAGAGGCCACATTTAAATTAGGCATAGGTAAAGGAGGCCGCATAAGTTGATAAGCGCATATTTTGAAATTGAATGCGACTTTTTTTGAAATTATTATAGTTTTTGTTTAGTTTATCACTTTATTGCTTTACATAGAAATTATGCAAAAAACATTAAGTCATTTCTTGAAATATAATTTACAGTAAAATATAATCTTTTAATAAATAGCTACGTATGTTTGTGTATATTGCTACAAGCATATACAGATAAATACAAACCACCAACTCAACAACATACAGGCTGAGAGTTGCTATTAGTTAGGAAAATAGGTACTGCCTGTCACTCAGAACAGCCGCCATCACAGCGTTAGTGTATTTTAGAGCTGTGGCCAAAAATAAGAACAAAAGATTGATGTGAAAGGTGAAGTTTTAGACTTCCACTGCTTTTACCTGTGTTCCTTGGTCTTAAAGGATGGGTGTCTGATGTGATTGCCTTGTTTTTGATATTGTATTAGTGGTCGCACGCATTTGTGTGATGAAAATGCATGATGCATAGGTGTGGTGATTAGTACCATAAAATCTTCTTTTTAAATCGCCAGAAATTCTATTACACATATTAGCTGGTATTGTCTTTTTGTCATCGCTGAAGATGAATCGGGGATCAGCAGCAATAGCTTCATCAATGTAGCTCTAGATCTGTTTTAATTTTATTTATTGAGATTAATTGTTAATTGTATTCTTTTTTACTTGTCCAAGTACTAGGAAATTATTCTATTAACTGAATAAATTATTTAATAGAGAACAAAAACGAATTAATGAGTTTAAAATCTATGACAAAATACATAAGCCCTGCAACCTTTCAGGCCTAGGCTATCTCTGTCAGTGAAAATATAAAAAAAATGGTAAATGTTTCTTTGTGTATGATAAGATAATAGTTGTCATACTATCTTTTTTTTATTTATTCTCGTTTAACAGAAAAAGTCACATGCTATGATCATTATTTAACAAAGATCTATATAACTGTGACTGTGAACAGCATAAATTTTTTTTTTGTTGATAAAATCTGTGTAAATTTAATAAAAAAAATTAGGGAGGACGCCATATAACTATCCTAAATTTAGTTTAAATTGAAGAAATCATGTGTCTGATGATTTAGCATTAAAGAATTTTTGAGTTATGTGATCTTGACCCTTCCTGGGGATGTGACCTTTTCCTTTTATTATCTGTCATTTAATGATATAAAGCTCCTTATACGTGGAATATAACTTTAAATTGGATATTCTTTTTATTGGAGCATGTTTATTCTTGTTTTTTCTGTATACTCCTGAAAAGATTTCTCAAGACATTTCTCTGAAAGACACCTCATTTAAAATTGAAAGGTCCTTATTTAAAGTTGCAGTTGAGTTCACTTTAACTTTATAGTTTTATTACTACTATATACTTTTTACTTATCATATATAAATTTTTTAAAATAAAATTACAAATTTTTATTAATCAACCAGCTTGTTTATCTTTGTAAGGATCTGCTGTATATTGTTTACTATATATATTCTAATTTTAGGGAAGGATTGATGAAATGTGTTCAAGAACTTTCTGTTGAGATAGAAAACCAAGCCTCACTTCATGAAACTGAGTTGCAGATGCTTCAAGATCAGTTAAATCATTATAAAAAATCTGCTGATGACTTACAAAAGAAGACTATTGATTTGCAAAGTGATATCTCCTCTCGTAGTAACGATACAGCTAGATTTTCAAAAAAGATTTTAGACTTGGAAGGCCAACTATGCATAATTAAGGAGGAAGTAAGTTTTTAAATTACTATTTTCTCTTTTCCCCCCTCTTTTTCTTGTAATCTAAAAATGATTATTTATGTTCTAACTAAAGAAAATCATAGGGTTTGGTAGTCTCTTCATTTAGTAGTCGCACTATAATCACACTTTTTTGATTAAAACTTGCAAAACTGAAATCAGCTATTCTCATCTGCTAGCAAAACTGAAATCAGCTATTTTTCATAAGAAATAAATACTTAAAGATTTAAAATTCTACTGATTTTCCTTACTTCTATATATAGAAATCATTTTTTAAGATTTCTTTTGTTTGTTTTACTATGTCTTTTAAGTACCATTCAATAATAAACAAATATTAAATCAGTCATATTTATTTTTACACATTTAGTTGCATTATTATTTTTTTTTTACATTCAAATGTGCTATAAACTATTTTAGTGTTCTCTAGCAACTAGGGCTAGTGAAGCTAGCTTTAAATTGTTGAAACTGCATTTGCTTGAATGTTGAATAATTCTTAACTTCTCCATCTCAGTTTTATCTTTAATTTTAAGCAGTGGCCCTGTCAGGGCTGATTATGCTCCGTCTGGATTTTTCGCTAACAATTATCTGGAAGTTTCCGGAGATCGAAGGTCCAGATGTTTAAAAAAATCGTTGATCACAGAAGTTTCCGGAAATCAAATTTTCAAGGATGGAACTTAAAAAACAGTTTATTTTATTTGTTTGTAAGTGAGAACCAGATACTTTATAAGCTTATATTCAGGATTAATATTCATTTTTTATCAGTAAATAGTTATTATAATCATAAACTCACGAAGGAAAGACATGTTTGTAAATTTTAATTACTTCTCCTGGTCAACATCGGTATGTGTAAATGGTATTGGTATGTGTAAAATTTTAAATATATTTTAAGTAAACTAAGAAATATTAAGAAAAAGGAAAAAAATACCTTGTTTAAACCTTTTTTTTTCAATATAAACTGTTTTTATTAAACATATCCATCAAACAAACCATCATATTAAAAAAAATCGTGAAGTCCATAGCAGTAACTAACGAGAAAAAAGAAATATCGAAGACAAAATCATCTGCATCAAACTCTTCAAAAAAGGGTTACTAAATGTGAGTTGTCATTTCGAGATTCAGTTGCTGTAATAAATAATACTAAATTAAAAATATAGGATTTTAAAAACTATGTGGAAATCAATAGAAGTAACTAAATAAAAAAAAAAATTCTCCAGAAAAGATTACCAAAATGTTTTACTTCCCAAAGGAAAAATTTTTCTGCAAGAACTCTAACGTTTTGCAACGTTTTGTCTGTTTAATTGATTCTGCTACGGACGCAGGGATTTAATGTTCATCACTTGTTGAAAATAACTGAAAAGGAAGTGTGTTTTTACTTTAAATTGCTCTAGTTGCAACTTCCCATTAATCAATTGAGCATTTGGACTTGAGTTTACTTGTTTTGTTTCCCTCCCCTGCCGAGTAAAGTAATCAGGCCATAAAACAACAAAATTTGCATCATATTGTATGTTTTAAAACATGGATTATCATTCATTTTGTTTAAATTTCTTAGTTAATTTAAAGTTGTATTTCAATTAAATATATATAAAAAAAAACTAACTTTTTGGGGGGTTAAAAATCAATAATTAGTTATTAATTTTAAGTTTACGCTTGTATTAAAAATTAAGTTTTTAATGTAAGTTTTTTTTCATGCTATACGAAAGGGTTTTTTTTCTCTATTTTTTTTAAACAGGCTGCAGCTCACATCACTCAAATATCTTCATTAAAATCTAGTAATTTAAAACTAACACTTTCCCTTGAAGAAGCAGTGAAAAAGTGTGAAAACTCTGAGAAATCAATCAAAGAACTTTACAATGAAAAATAAAGTGAAAAAGTAAGTTTTCTTTTAATTTTGTTGTATAGTCAAATTCTTTTATTACAACACATGATTATTTTTATAATTATAGTGTTTAACAGTTGTTTCAGTATGTACTTGGTATTTAATATTTTATAATTATGGAATAATTTCACATTTTTTTTTAAATGTAGGCTAAATATGATCATGAAAAGATAAAAATGCAAGAAACTATTTCCCAGCAGGCAAAACTTATTGATTTTCTCCAAGAGAAAACTGAGAATATGGAAAAGAAAAAAAGGGGTATGTCAAGACTTTTTTAAAAATACTGTGTTGTACTTTAAAGATTTGAACTGTATTGAGTAAAAAGTTTACATTTCTTAAGAGTATACCAGAAGTTGTTTATGTGATCTATAGAAAAAAAAATGACATTTGTATCCTGGGAGCATTAAAAAAAAAAACATTTTTAAAAATGCACCTAGTATTCAAATTGATGAAGTATCCATAGAACCAAAAAATAAAATATTGATGAAAAGTTACTTAATTTTAGCCTATTGCTCGATTGTTTGGGAAGAAAGATGCACCTCAGCAACTTCCACAAAGCAGAGATTTGGAAAAAATGTTAGAAACTGAAAGAAGTCGTTGTCGAAGGCTGCAAGATCAATTGAGTCAAGCTAGAGCAGAAAAAATGTTATTGCAGAGACAGAGTATGTGAAGAATTGAGTATATTTTATTTGATCTGTATCTATTTTGCCATTATTACATAGTTTGTAACTCTCATTATTCCTTAAAGGGACTTCTTATATTTAATGTTATT